CTGGCTCTCTCACTCTTTCTCTTTCTCTCTGGCTCTCTTTCTCTCTGTCTCTCTCTCTCTCTCTCTGTGTGTCTCTCTCTCTCTCTCTCTCTTTCTCTCTCTCTCTCTCTCTCTCTCTCTCCTCTTGCTCATTGTCTGAGTTTTATAAGTTGACTAAACATGGGACTGAAGGAAGTTCATGTAATATCAAATTGTTGTGATTTTTCTCATAAGCATATTTCCAGTGCTTGCTAATAGTTTAGTTCTGCTTAGTATTGTTGAGAATTATTTTTTATCTACATTCTTTATCTACATTCTTTCCTATTATGGAAAAGAAATAGTATGCACACCTGATACCTGTTTCATTTTTTTGATGATATAAATGCTTTGCTATTTATACTTTTCAGGCAATTAAATTTTTTTTTTTTTAACAGGAATTGCCAGCCCCAATTGAAATGGGTTTGAGGTCAGGGCCAGCAGGTGCTTCTGCGATCTCCCCATCCCCAAAGGCAATAGCAAGCGGTGCAAAGAAAAAGGTGAGGATGTGTGGATGAAGTGTACACTTTGCATTCTTTGGTCTTAAAGACATTTTCAGTTGACCATGATGTGTAACAAGTCTTGATGGGTGAGGTTTTTGAGGGAACTCTTTTTACATTACCCAGCATGTGGTTCAGGGACATTTGGATTGGGATCTGTTGGGGGAAGAGAGGTTTTCTGTTCAAATTGGTGTACAGTGAAATCTTACACTGAGCAGTTAATAAGGTGTAAGCTACTGATTACCAAAGAATTTGTAAAGGGACATAAATTTTGTACTTATGTTCCTGCAATATTTGTTTCAATTTTTTTTTCAAATGTGTACTTATTGAGCTGTTTAATCTCCTTTTATGCCTGTCTTTTCAGACAACTAACTCTTTATTTTGCTGGAAAGCTGACTACATTTAAGTCTCTTGTTTCATGCTTATTTCCCCATTAATTATTGTCTCACAGTAAATTTGTACATCTTAACCTGCATGTTGTGAGTGGTGGAGGGCACCACGGAGACATCTTACTTCTTTACTTTCCCGTCTTTTGTTTCTGTCTGTCTTGCTTTCATTTTCCAACAGGTAATGGGTGTTATTGTGTCAGTGTGTGTCTCTTTCACTTTTACTCAAACTGTTTGATTGTTTGGGGTTTTTTTTTGTTGCTTTCAACAGCCGGATGGACCTGATGAGGAAAAAATGAAGATAGCTTGGAGGTATCAAAGCCAACCCAAAGTGCAGGTGAGTTATACTGTGTCTACGAACGCAATTTTTTCCCCTTTGGTTGGCATTCTATAACATTCCGCCATCTACTTTCTGTGTTGCTTATCTAGATTTGTCTTGTTCCCATTGAATGGCTATGTAAAGTCTTTTGAACAGAGCTTTCTTTTTTCAAATGGTCACTTTACTCTACTTTCAGTAATTTAAGCACTTACAGTAATGGGCTGGAGTGTGAATTATTCTGCATTTTCACTCTATTCCGATGTTGTTTTTATTGTACCATATTTTAATGTGGGTGGTTAGCGGGTGCTCTGACATGGTTTGCTCCTTCTTTCCTATAAAAATTTTATCGTCTCTATCTCCCCTCCTTTTTTGTGTTTGTTACTCTCTTGTAACACCTCTAATCTTCGACACTTATATGACCTAATTGTTTTACAAGTGCCGTAAAACACTTACTAAAACTAAAACCGTATTTTTATAATGAATAAAACTTCTTCTGTGTGCTTAATGCTGTTGGCTGAATTTTAATGTGAGTGGGGTACAGAAATCGTATTTTCTGCTATCTATTGTTACAAGTATGACTTATAAGTACTTCTTTTTCCTTTTCCAGAGCACACCAACATCAGGCGTACAGTTTGGTCACTATTATGATCTCACAAAAGTCATGGATCAGAACACTGTGGAAGCAGCTCAACTTTTCTATGCGTCTAGTCAGGACATACCATTGGAGAGGTATTTTAGGGTGTGATGTTTAGGTCACAGAAATAAGCAGGACTGGACAAGACCTGTTTTGCCAAAAATTTTGAGTTAAATCATCTACGGCAGCTGACAGCAAACAGTATTTTTTGTGTGTGTCTGACGTAAAAAGTGCCCAGATTTAAGTGAATTGCTTGCAGCACTGAAGACATGTATAAGAAAATATTCAGGACTTGACATCTGTTCACTATGTGCATGCTGGACCGTACATTGTTTTTTCCCCGTACCATATTGAAGAGAGTTGCTTAGTACTGCTAAGGACTTTTTTCTATCTCTTTCAATCCGCTATGGCACAGAAGATTAAGAATTTAACCGGCGAAAAGTTTTAGGTTTTAACCCTTCCTGTTTGCATTGTTCACAAAAAATGGCTGCACAGGTGTTCCCATTATTTTGCAGTTGGTGGAAGTAAGTAAGTTTTGACTACTGACACCGACTCTTATGTATTTTCTTCTCTGGAAATAAAAACTTGGCTACAGTTTTATGTTAATGATCTTTTTTTAATTTAAAGTCATAGCCAAGCTTACAGTTGAGAAAATTGCAGGAGTGAAACAAGTGGCGAGGAATTCATACGAGTGCAAGCTGACATGTAACAGTAATAGGCAGGGGCAGGTTAAATGATTTAACTTTTCATTAGCTCATAGTTCATATAATAATGTGCAAAGAATGCTCCCATCATTATATAACATGTATTTTTGCAGCTCATCAGGAGCCTTGAGGAACAAGAGCTATTGTAGGCTGCTGCAGGATGTCCATCAAAGAATACAAGAGGGCTGCTTTGGAACGGGGCAGAAAACGGCAAAAAGAAGTATACTTCGTCTGGGTATGTAGCAGTTGTTAAATTCATATAATAGGTACAGTAGTATGCACTTTTAAATGTTTTTTAATGCTCTAAGTCAGCTGTCTTGCCACCGATGATAGAAAAGTTTCAGGGGCTGGAGGACAGCAAAAGGTCTTCAGAAGAAAAATTAGGATCAAGCAGACGCTTTTGCTTGTATCTTGCTGGAACAGGTGTCGAGTCTCATGATGGCTGTGACTCAGTGTTGCTTTCCAAATCTCCCTTATTTCTGTTTGACTTTTTGCCTGAAAGAAGGCTGGCATCTGGATGTCACGTTAATCATTTTGCCATGTAGTTGGAAGAAATGAGTCTGATTTCAGTGAAGGGTGGGTGAGAGTTAATCTCTCTTGTATTTCTACTGAGTTGTATCCTGCACACCTCAGTTTGGACTTGAGAGTATATGAAGCGAGTATGGGAAGAAGCACTGTGCCTCATAAATATGTGTTGCATCTATAGAATTGTTAAGTAGTTAAATACAGTGAATGTGAATATTTTTTTCGTCTTACAGGTATTCATAATTTGGGATCGCCGTTATGGGGAGAGAATGGGGGTTTGAATCCATCCGGTGATGGTCACGACCCGTCATTAACACAGTTTTTCCTGGCTCTTCGAGCGATGCTTAGATCTGCTCTTGCTGTTGCAATGGTTACTGTGCCAACACATCTATTCCATGTGAGTATATATGTGTACTGCAAAGATCGTGTGCTAGTTGATAAATAAAACAGCGTTTTTGAGGGTCAGTAATGTGCTATTTTTAATTCAATTATGAGAGTTCCTTTCAATGTAGCTACCCACAAATGCACATCATAAGATACTTGTTTTTACTGGCAGACATGTCAGCGTTATGATGACTGTGTTTTGAACATTCAATATGTATAATTAAATAAGATATCTTTTCAAAAGTTGAAACTTTGATTCAGAAAATTATATGTCTTGCTGCTTTAGTTCGAAAATCTTACTTAATTGAAGCTGGATTATCATACATCAGTTGTCAGTCACTGAAAAAATATTGAGTAGTTTTGTATTTCTTTCATGTTTTCATACGAACCTCTGCCGTTATTTTTATATCATTTTGAATATGTTACTTGTTTCCTTTCCTTTCCTCTGGCTGGCCTCCATAAGGAGGGCGGCAATCTGCCGCAGGCAGACAGGTAAGAGGCAACCTCGTGTGGCCTCGCCCAGAGTACATCCGGGCCCAGTCTCGCGTTCCATTATTAGCAGGAGACTCAGATCAGCCGGTTCGGCTGAGCCTCCGGACAAAAACCGTCGCCTCGTTCCTGTCTGAATCCAGGGGTTGATTGGCGTTTGGCCCGGGGTCTGCAGCACTGCATAGAGGTCCCAATAATGACTGCAGAATATATGTTACTTGTGCGTGACGACAGTTGTTTCTGATGAAAATATTAATAGATATAATGGAACAAGCCAAACAAATGATTAAAACAAAGTCAAAAATTGAAAATGGGGACTTGTGTTATTTTCCATGTGTACGGCATAATTTGCTTCCTGTTTTTTATTCCTTGTTATATTCAGACCTGCCACTCATCCCGATTTAGTCGGGATATCCCGATTTTTTGCCCCAAATCTCAATCCTCCCGTTTTACCGATTTCGATCGCGTGTATCCCGATTTTTTTGTCCCAGTCTGCTGTTGTGCCGGATTTTTCTAAAAACATACTCCTTTATCAAGAGAAGCACCCATCGAACTTTTTGTCAGTAGGAACTCGCAGCACTATTTCCCGAAATATCGATGCCGCATTTAGTAGTTGACTCTCCCCAAGTTGTGTGTGATCTTTTCCCGCACTCAGAATTCTCCGATGATAGCCTGGTAACTGTTACAATTTGGGACGTTTAATAATCGATAATATTCGTAGTTCCGCTGTTACTTTCAAAACAAGCCTTGTCCGAGGTCTGGTAACTACGCGTTCACATCAAACACTCGGACCAGCGACAGTCTTTCTAACCCTTACACAACTGACTGTAACTGCGGTGACAAGACTAACATACGGCCGTTGTCGTTGCTTTAGTCAGAACGCATTATGAGGGAGAAGAGATTTGTTGGTACAATTGGTCGGTCGGCTGCCGCCGTTATCCTAACTAGAACGACTGTCGCTCATCCGAGTGTTTTGTGTGAATGCGCAGTTAGTCGGATGCGTTAGTAAAATTGTTTCAATCGTGCATTCGCGTCACGTGACATATCATCGCCGTGTGAGTTCTGCGTTTCGGGGACTGCCCGTTGACGGGGTCAACTTAAGTTCATGTATTTCGGGACTTATTGGTAGGGGTGGGGGATGGGGGTTATAGACACTTGGACTAGGAGTACTTGACGCGATGCTTCAGGATTTACAAAAAATAATAACTCGCACTACGCACGCGCGCACACACACACACACACACACCACACGCATGCACGCAAACAAACAAAGACACGCAGAGGGCATATAGGCCAAGTAATTTATGGACACCCCTGGTAAAATTTTAAGTCAGCTTTGGCGGTCACCTTGTTGATCCCGATTTTTTCTCCCTGAGATCCTGATTTTGAGGTTTCATAGAGTGGCATGTCTGTATATTCATGGGGGATGGGGAAAGCGAGTTTCCAACAGTGATGGACGCATTTATTTTAAGTCTCATCTGAAATTACTCACAACTTTCTCTTGATATTCATGTAAAGCTCAGTACTTGTTTCTCCTCCCTCCCCCAAAGGACAAAGGCTACAAACGTCGGCTAGAGAGAATGGCAGATACTGTGATACGCCTGGAGAGCTTCGCGGGTTCTCCGAAAGAGAAGAATCCAGCGTTTAAGGAGTACCATGGTGAGGGTTCTTTTGTTTTATGTACCATTGATTCCAGTGAGGAAATTTGCATATACCTTGAATAATTTTCTCAATTGAATTAGACTTGCTATATCAAAGAATAAAACAAATTTCAGCCCAAGGGTGGTGGCTGAAAAGAGGATTTTAGACCTATTATACATGTCCCTTTTGTATTTTTAAAAATATTTTTTTTATAGTAGAGGGTTTTACGGCGCTCGCAACTGCATAAGGTCATATGAGCGCCAAGGGGTGGATGTCAACAGAGAAGTCTTTACAGGGAATCAGACTTAGACTGCTCACCTCTCTAGCTTCAACAGCACAAGGTCTGCTTCGACTATCAAGGCACCCCAAAATAGCAGGTCACAACAGAGTGACAAACATACAAAAGAAGTAGAGAAAATGATAATAATAAGGATCAGGAAAGAAAAAGCAGCAGTTCCCTGTTGTAGATCAGGCACAGTTATGAGCGTGACATGAGTGAGCCCATTTACAATTCTACTATGCTTGAACGAGAAATGTCCCCCCTTTGGGAATGGCCTAAAGACACTTCAGTCAGTGGCACTGCCCCGGGGGGTTCCCTTTTGTACGTAGTCTATGAAATAAATGATGATGGCTGCTTAAAACGTGCAAATAAGATAGATCTTGTAAATCTGAGAATGCTTTGATTTATGTGAACTGAAACCCCCTGACGTTTTTCTTTTCAACATAGAAGAGTGAACATGTTAGAATTCGCAAACAGCCTGGAGGTGAGAAATGAACTCATTGTGAAAATGGCCGCAGTATCATAGAAGGCAATGTATGGGAAATTCAACTCTCTCACCAGAATATCCTGACATGTCTCATATGACAAGAAAGCACTGATGTCGCGATGTGTCACACTGCCATGCAACAGCAGTAGTAGTAGTAGAAGTAGAAGTACAGATGCCAGAGTAAGGATTAATGGGTTTCCTTTTAAAATATTGAGATATGATACAAGTACTGGGTTCATAGCTGTGGGAGATGTGTCATGACACGTCAAAATCAGGGACTCATCATGTTTTAGGCATGTGGACTTATTTATTAGTTTCATCTTATTAAAGTTTGGTCTTTTGCTAATCTTTTAATGAAAAAATGACTATCTATCTTGAATAAAAGTCGAGATATTTGCGATTGAGGATGTAGGGGTGTCCTGGTTTCTGGGGTAAAATTAGCAAGAAAATGTCTGCTAATGTTGGGTGGCTTCTGTTGTTTGAGAGTCCTTGGAAAATGCAAATTTACATTGTTTTGTGCCTTTGATCGTTTTTTCAGTAAAATCCTCTTGGTAAAAATGTGTTTTTAATTGACATAAAAGATGAGCCAAAAACAAAAGTCAATAAAAATTGCCAAAACGGCGGAAAAATGCAGGTATCTTCAATTTCATCATTTTGACGAGCGCCTGATTTCAACACCATGCCCCATATATATATATATAGGGTTAATCTATTGTTTAATTTTGCACCACAGGTCTTCTCCACCTGGTGCAACTGCCCCGGCTCAATTCTCTGATCCCTGCCCAGCCGGAGACTACCGATCTTGCTTTCAAGCTCAGGAGGAAAAAATTCACCATAGAAGTATGTTTGCGGGTTTTTTGCTCCTTCTTTCCCATCAAACATCTGTCGTCCTGATAAAATCTCTCCTCCTTTTTTGTTTTGTTTCTCTCTTGTAACACTTCTAATCTTCAGCACTTATATGACCTTACTGTGCAGCAAGTGCCATAAAACTCTTACTAAAACTAAAATTAAGAGGTATGTATTTTTGTTTGACTTTATTTTCTTTCCTTTTCTGTTATCAGTATCAGTGATTTGGGAAGATGAGGAATGATGATATTCTGATCATCCATTTGGTTAGTGTGTGTGTATGTTTGGGTTTGTTTTTGTTTTTTTTGGGGGGGGGGTTGCTTGTTACTGTTATAGTGTAATACAAAATGTGAAAATGATTATGCCATGAATTCTGTAGTCACTGCTTTAGAAAACTTGGTTGTTTTCCATTTCGAAAAAACATTGTTGTTTTCCGAGTTATCACAACACTTCTGTTCTTACATTTCACTTCCATAGAAACTACACCTCCCACCAGAGCTGGCAGACACAACTGGTAGATCGCAAGACGACGACAACCCGCTGACATCAAAAGTTATGATTGGGTGCAGCTCATCGGAATCCTCAAAGTTGTCTTTCTGATGGATGGAGATTGTTCTGTGGTGTCAGTGTCTTTTAGTTTTAGTAGAGGCTTTACAGCGCTCGCAACTGCATAAGGTCATATGAGTGCCAGAAGATTAGAGGTGTTACAAGAAAGTAACAAACATAAAAAAGAAGAAGGCGAGATAAGGAGGATAGATGTTTCATAGGAAAGAAGCAAACCACACCAGAGCACCTGCCAACCACCCACTGTCAGTGTCTTCAAATGAAGCTAAAAAGGAAGCTAAGGAGTAGGTAGCGTAAACACGGCCTCGCGGGCGCGCACGGCCTTCCGACCGCGTGGTATCGGGGTAATTCGATCGCTGTTTCTATGCTCTTTCGCTATAAAACACCAAATGGCGCACACCTATTACAAGTTCAGCTTTTCCTCGTTACAATGGTGTAAGTTGTTTATATGTCCGATTATTAGGAGCTGGAGAATGGCCGACGAAAGCGAAGCCCCTCAGGGTCGGAATGCGTGGTCGGCCGGTTCAAAAATTGACACGCGTGCATTCAAATGCTTCGCAGAACGAGGGATGATTGAATACCGTCTTTTCATTGGCGGAGAACTGTAGCGCTTTAAACGGGCTTTCCCGTGGTATATATTTGGCCGTTGGCGTTTAAATAGAAAGCTTTTAAAAATGCTATCAAAATGTTTAAAATCACTTTTTACACACAATATGTAAAATACCAGCTTATAAAAGGTATCAATGAAAAGATCAGTTTATTTTCTATTAGAATATTTACATCAATCCTTCCGCGAGACTCAGAAAGCATGTGACCCCGCACGCTGGGTACACTACAGTATAAGCCGACTCGCTCACCGCAGGGGCCAGTGCGGCGCCGGCCGGGTCAACGCTCGTTGTTTTTGTTGAAAATACGACAGATCATCGTGTTTGAAGTGATAAAATACATATTTGTAATGATCTCACAGTCTTGAAAAAAATTAGGCTCCATATATTTGTTATAGTGATTGTACTCTGTTAATGTGATGTTTAGTGCACTTGGTACTCTTTTATTGTCTGTCAAACATGGGGTTGCAGCCAGTGACTGACTTTAACAAATTTGATCAAATTTTAAACAACTACCATTTTCTGAAAATGACTCGGAGGTTAAAGAATGGTACCAAAATGCTCAGAAGATATAGGCCTTTCAAATGGAAAAGATAAATTTGACATACAGCTACTTCGAAAATTTAGTTTCTGGTAGCCTACCTATGAGGAGCTATTGGATAATTATCAGTATTCTGATTCTCAAGGGTATTTTTTTTTTAAAGTAACAGGTATTTGGTTGACTGATTGCCTCTATTCTTTTTCTGACCTCTTAACATGATTTTTTTCCCCTGGCTGTTTTGGTAGACTTCCAATATTAATATTCTGGAGTTTCTTGGGGTTTCAAAGTAATGTCCTTTTTTTTGGTACCTTTTTTTAAACACAAAATCAGTTTCAAATGCACATTTCTAAAAAAAATAAATATTAAGTACTTTTTCTCAATCTCAAATATAACTGGCCAGGTACCTGTAACTACCAAATCTGCAATCTGCACATACTTGGAAAGTTTCAGTACATTATCTTGATTAGTAGCTCAGATTTTAAGATTTTAGTGATGATGGGTCTTTCAAAAATATAGTTTCGAGAAAATCGCATTAAAAAAATTCATTGTGAAATTTGACGGTTAGTTCTATACAAACCCCACTTCTAAAGGTTCCAGTACCTCATGCACCTTTCTTTCTAACCACATGCAAAATCTCATCACTGTAAAGCTACAAATAACCTTACAATTAGAATTTTAGTGAGCCAAGTAGAAACAAAATGTAACAAAATTTGAGAGGAAAAGTGGTTAACACAACACCAAATTGTTCACCTTGTCTTGTAGGTTGTGCAGACAATTAATCCATGCTGTGATAGCTTCCACTAGTTATTAAATCCTCCTGCAGCATATGTCTCCAATTCCTGCTGCTGCTTTTTAAAATGTTTTTCTATGCTGGGCTTCTTTTGATTTTCCCTTAGCAGTTGCGAGCGCCGTAAAACCTTATACTACTATACTACTATATTTTGATTTATTTTTTTCGTTTCCACTTTGACAGGCCCTGTTTCCTCTTACGCATGACTCTAACGGCAGTTTTCTGCTTTCTTACAGCATGACTGGCAGAAACAGCTCCCCATTGTAATCCAAAAATATCCATTACACACTTTTTAAAAATCAGTTCTAAGTCTGCAGACTTACCAGTTACGAGTGCCGTAAAACTCTTACTAAACCAAACTAAATAGAATCTAACCGATTACTTTCATGGGCATGTTGTACAACTGGGTTTATTGCAGCAGTGGTTTTGAGGTGGGGTTCTTGTATACCTTGTTTCTGCTATGTCTTGCTACTTGTGTCTTTGTAACGGCAAACTATAACTGAATCAGGAACTCAGGAGTCTTGTACTGGGTCAAACACAATCAAGCAATTTATTTTTGGTAAATATGCAAAAAGAACAATATCTACACAACAGATTAGGGTATTTACGTGTCACAGATTACATGCCTTCACGATAATTGGCACTCACTCATCTCAAGTCTTTCTCACGTAGAGCATTACAACACTAGTCTAATGGTACATGTTGGCAAAGAGATAAAATACAAACATGACATGTTATGATCATGAAAATGACAAACCAACCTGGAAGTGTATTTACAAATACAAAGGGAAACAACTTAATAACTTATTAACTTATGTCCTACTAAGGGAATGAATTACGAGCAGGTCTAATTATTTTCCCTACACAAGTTTCATTCACGTGTTTGTGGCAGTGGTTGCCGAGAAGAGATCGGTCATTGTTAGCCAGTCAGGCAATTTCATAGGTTTCTCAAACTTACTCAAGGCTACCTGTGACGGAGCGTGTCCCTATGGCGTGAAAGAGACAGCGTTCTGACTCTGAGGCACTCTAGTAATGCCTCATCCAGTTTGCCAGCACTGTGCCACCCCCCACCAGGGCAGTGCTACTGACTGGGGATATTAACATGTTCTTATGCACAGTAGAATTGTAAATGGGCGGATTTATCAATGTCATTCTCATACTGTGACAGAACAGCATAGGGGGAACTGCTGCTTTTTTCTTTCTCATCCTTACTTGCATCATTTTTCCTCTACTTCTTTTGTACAGTATATACAGAAAAAAGTGGTTTGTTTTGGTCTCAAATCTCAATGTAGATACAGTGCTAACTGATGAATGTTGGTGGTCCTGAAAAGGACGTCATGTGCCAGTACACGTACGATATTCAGTCCCCGGTTGCAGCTTTAGAAGTCTTTTGCTAAAGGTTGAAGATTTTCTTCAGCCTTTTGGCTCCATGGCACAGGGGACCAACAATCCCATACAGGTAGGGAATTATTTCTTTGACTTTCCCATCTCTTTTCAGGGTAGTCAAAGCTGTCCTGATTTTAAAGATTATTGCCAATTCATTGTCACATGTAGTTTAAAGTAACAAATTGGCGAATCTCTGAAGGTGTGTAGCCACCCTTTTCCTCCAAACAAGTAGAGCAACAAGGACCATCGTAGTGTAAGGCTGATGACAAGGGCATGCGATGGGCACGTATGTCTTGACTTTCTTGTTTTGTGTAGCCTTGGCTTTTGTGCAGCATCAGAAGAAGATCCAGACATGGTGAACAATGATGGGAAATTCAACGTGAAAATGTGGCCAACAGGAGATGCGACTGTCTTGTCCATCAATAATTTATTCACGTCTGCAGAGGTGATAACTCTGCATTTCATGAAGACGGTTGATGATGCCAGGCTTTCCGATTTTAGTCGGATATACATGGCATCTATATTATCTAATTTGCCTTTCTGGTACATTGTTCTTACATTCCATGTGGCAATGTTAAGTTGCTTATTTTTGCAGCCAGTAGTTGGATGACGTTCGGGCGCTACCTGCTGCCCGTGGCGGTCCCTACTGAGCGGGGAGTTCAGAGCTGGATCATGAACCCCCTTTACGCTGTTATCTGATAAATGAATGTACTTTTCCATAACTGTTCTTGGGATATTACAGCTGTGGTTTCCAGTTGCCTACTGCCGGTTTGTGTACAGTTTCTCTGCTAGCCTTTGTCAATCCACTGACAACCCACAAGAGAGTGGGGGCTTTGGTAGGATTTATGGCGCCTCCTGTCACCAAGATGGTCCCTTCTTCGAGTGTGTGAGGTATTTATTGAAGCACCTGTGCCACCAGGGTTCCCATCTACTCTCCTCGACCATCTCCCATTTGGTTTGCGACTGCTTAGCAGCTAACCTCCATAGCTTAACGATAACCCTATTCATTGGTATATTCTTCTCACCGGTGCATGTAGTTTTTTTCCTTCTTGGTGGTGCAGGAATCCACCGCATCAATCTTATTTTGACGAGCTGTCATTTTTATTGAGGAAAACAAACAAGTAAACAAACAAATGAAACAAAGGTTCCTCCAAAGCAAGGAGAGCAACAAGGACCATCGCCGTGTAAGGCTTATGACAAGGGTATGCTGCGGACACGTAAGTCTTGACTTTCTTGTTGGGTGTAGCCTTGGCTTTTGTGCAACACCAGAAGATCCAGACATGGTGAAAAATGATGGGAAATTCAACGTGAAAATGTGGCCAACAGGAGATGTGACTGTCTTGTCCATCAATAATTTATTCACGCAGTAAAAATGTTGTGTCATCAGCATACTGTCAGATCTTAGTACAATATGTTGAATTGGGCATTTTAACTCCCTTGATGTTAGGGTCTTGTCTTACTTTTATTGCCAACAGTTCTACTGCTAGGATAAATAATAGAGGAGATAGTGGGCATCCTTGACGGATTCCCCTCTGTACTTCAAATTCAGCTGATATAAATCCGATGTTTTTTTACACATGCCATTCTATTGTTCATAAATGTTTCTTTCCATTGCATAAAGACATCACCAAATCCGAATGCCTCGGATTATTCACTTCTGCAGAGGTGATAACTCTGCATTTCATGAAAGCGTTTATTGTGCGAGGCTTTCCGATTTTAGTCGGATATACCTGGCATCCTTTGATAGGTGTTACCTTAACGATAACCCTATTCGTTGGTATCTTCTCCCCACCGGTGCATGTAGTTTTTCCCTTCTTGATGGTGCAGGAATCCACCCCATCTATCTTA